CAAGTTTTGTGCAAAAACGCATGATCGCTCCGGCTCGCCTGGTGCGTTCCAGCCTACGTTATTTTGCATATGGATTGTGCGGCACAGTTTTCATCCTGAAACTGTATTTGGCCGAGTGCCGATTGGTGTTTAATTTATTGTTGACGTCGTCAAAGTTCCGTTCAGTAAGAACCGTGGCCGCCTTTTCAGTCTGCAGACGAGTTTATACTTGAGAAGGCATTGAAGCAAAAAGTGCTCGGAATGCATCTTCGTGAGCGTACAGACTTTCCGCGAGATGAATGGTGTGCACCATGTCGTTGTGAGCGTGCGAGAAAGTGAAATCTGTTGTTTGGCTTGCGAACAACCAGAGCAGGTCGGGTATTAGAGAGTGGTACCCGCGGAAAAAGTAAACGACCATCGGACATACTTACAACAGATGGTGTGCATACGTAAAACAAGCAGCGTTGTGCAGGTCAGAACTGAGGATGTTGGGCATCACTGCACCTGACATCTGGCATGAGATCCCAACTCTATTCTTCGGTCCAATTTAGTATTTTGCCCAAATAAAAACGAGCTCACCATTACTTTCTTTTTCTTTTGCATACGCAGAAATGCTTTTCTTGGTTGACTGAAGCGCCTGCTTATAGTGTGTTAAAAAAAAAATCTTTCCATGGACTCTGGGTGAGTTTCAGATAATTTTAGGAAAGCGGCACATTGTTGGTTGACTCTGGTACCGAGTCGGATGACGACGAACTGGAACAGCTGGATTCTTGTAAGTTCTTGGAACTTTTGGGTGCCATTGAAATTCATGATTTTGATGAACAAAGTCATTTTGTTAGAAAATTACTCGTTTAGCAAAGAAAAGCATTTTTCATTGAAATGATCTTTTTTTTTTTATTTTGTTCATTTTTTGGGATCTTTTATCGCTCCGGCAGTACATATTTTGCAGTTGTTGACATTCAGTTTTTTTAGAGTTCACTCCTCTGGCAGTTATAAAATTTTTGTATGCCGTAACAGACATGAACTAAACTAAGAAGCGCTGATGATAGGCCACTTTCCCTCGTTCCCTCTCCGGCTCTCCGTTTCATCCAAAGTTTACTGCTGTTAATTAGACGGGCGCTAATTGGACAGCTGCAGTGTTGAACTGTTTGCTCTGTAAAGGTGTAGTATTTCCTTATGTGTATTCCTTAATGAAAATTGCGTAACAGGAGTCTTGTCAGAAACACTGGATAAGTCTGCTTCATGTGATTCAATGCATCCTTGATAAGAGACGTACCTTCACATAAAAACCGCCCCTTGACGTTTCTTAAAATCAGAAACTGCTTCATTCGCTTCATCTAAAGGCTTATTGTATCAAGAATATCAAGATTGCTTGGGCTATCAGTGTGGGTGTCCTTATTAGTGTTGTTACTAAGACTGTTGTCACTCAATCTGAAGTGTAAGCCACGAAATTTATTTCATGACAATCGGTTATGTGAAAGTAGTGCGTGTGTGTGTGCTTTTTATCATGCGTTTTGTGCTGTTTAACAGCAGTACAAAACGCATATTGTCACGGGTTGTCTGTGTGTGTGTGTCCCGCATTTTGTCCAGCACTTTCAACTCGGGAACCACAAAAGCTAGGCGGCTGAAATTTTGGTATAGTGTTCCCCGCAAGCGGGTGACGCGGCAAATTTAAATTCAGCCTTCCCGTACCCGCGGGTATCACGTACGACCCCGTAAAAGTTTATCGGGTAAAATCAGTATCTCGGGAACTACGGGAGCTAGGAAGCTAAAATTGTATGGGTATGTCCCCTGACCACATGCTACCCAGAAAGCTCAAATTCAACCTTCCTTTATCCGCGGGTAACACGTACGGCCCCGTGAAAGTTTTTGACGAGTAAAGTGTTATCTCGGGAACCACGGAGTCTAGGAAGCTGAAATTTTAAGGTAATGACCCCCTGCCCACGCTCAACCTTGCCTATTCAAATTCAGCATTCCCGCGCTCTCGGGTATTATCTAAGGGCTAGTGAAAGTTTTTGCGGGTAAATTATTATCTCGGGAACCACGAAAAGATATTCACCCTTCAAGGTTTCGAATTTAGCTTTTATGCGCAGGTGCGTGAAATTCTTAACTGTTTTCCAATGTTTGAACTACTTTTGCATAGACTAAAGTACGAAGCGGTGAAAATTATTAATAGGCAATCGTTTGATAGGCTGAATTACACAAAACGCATGATCGCACCGGCTACTCTGGTGCGCGTTGCTATTTATTAACATTCTTTATCCTGGGAAGTGGTCTCAGAGTCGAGACCAGCTTGGTGATTACAGTTGCAGAAAAGAGCAAGCTACCCAGCAGTTTAAAGCACCGCACAATACGGAGCCTGGGACATGAAGTTAGTCGTTATTGCGTCATGACTTATGACAAATTCTGACTTGTGTTCGACTCTGTGATGTGCATCCTCTTCGGAAACGCCTGATTACGTCAGTTTTCTGGTACAGCAAACCACCGTTTAACATGTATTATTCGGATGGCAGAGAAGTGTTGCTTGAGTATTTCTGTGCAGATTTTATTAGTGCCCGATGCAGTCCAGTAGAGGCCGATAATTTCATTTGCCCGAAATCAAATAAATAAGCTTATGAGCTTCAAATTTGCGGACAAATCTTCCGACAGATACACATTTTACAAATATTGCAACGTGGCGCTGGCACTTCTTTCGCGATTTCTTCAATAAACCCTTCGGTTGTTGTAAATTTATTAATTTAAATGCTCGTCCAGGATACCGGATGACTGACGTTATCGTGTGCCTTTCTGCTCTTAGTTGTTTTACGTACGCATTTCATGGACGTGATCACTAAAAACAGGGTGATTGTACACAGCCTTCCCGTTCACCTTTTCCCCCTGCGCATCCCCTTCCCCGGCCTACCTATGCCCTTGCTCCTTTCCTGCTTGCTGAGTGCCTCTTGATGGCTGTAAATGCAAAATTTCGCGGCAGTTATGAAGTCGTCCTGAAGCCGCAGAGAAGGCTTCAAATTTGATGTTATGCTTTGATGTAGTGTGAACAGAAAAGTGAGAAAACTTATGCAAGCATTTTATTCAGTACTGAAAAGCAGTCTCTGCGTGTAGTAGATTTTCCTGAAATGCTGTGTTCTCCATATTATTTTGAAGACAGCGTACATCATGTGAATGGAAATTGTACTGGGGCTGTAAATCGTGGGTTTCACAAAGTGTAGCCTGTGGTACATTTTAAAGGTCAATCGGTGAGGGGAAATTACAGGGTGCGAAAATAAATAAAGCACTGCGCTTTGTACAAATTTGTCTGCTGTTGAAGCTGCAGTGGTGAAATACTGGGTCTTAAAAAAATTCCCGCGAAAATTTGCTAAATTGACAAATTTACCAGTCTCGGTCGAACGTAAATTTCTAATTCGTAGAATATTACTACTGATTTTCGGCACCTCATCGGTGTCCATTCTTACCACCAGTCATTTGAAGTAAGCTTATTGCTTCCTGATCCTCCTCCTTTCCTCCCTTCTCCTCATACCTTTTTTTAATTCCTAGTCTTATTTTTAAGCAGTATCACATCGAAAGAATTTTCAAATAATTTGCATGAATTTGCAGTTTTGAGCAGAGCACATTCGAGCGATATTATGGGAAGCAGTCCACCGAACCTAACCAGCTCACCGCCGCTAGCCAGTGAATTCGAAACAAATAGGTTTGTTTGAATTTTTAACCTAGATAGCTATAGTGATTCTGTTGCTAATCTGTTGAAATGGAAGCCCAGGAAATCGGTGAATAGTTGTAAAATGCTTCAGGACATGTGCTACAATTTTCGTGAAATTTATAAAATTAATTGCCGAGTTTTTTTGCCAGTTTTTGCATGTTTCCTTAAGACTTTATACCTATCAGCTCCCCGAGTGGAGCGGGAAGAAATGATCATTTTGAATTTTATTTACTTTTCCATTAACAGAATCATAACGGATTTATAAACATTTATTATCAGGAGGCATTTGTGGTGAGAAGTCTTCCGGGTTCTTTTCCCACATGCTTGCCCATTCATCGCGGCTGTTTTATTCGTAGGCTTTCCAGTTCAATATGTGGATGAGAAAAACCGCGAAAATGTGCCGTGCAGTGACCGTTTTTCTCAGTTCTTATACAGAGTAGTTGCCTGCGGCAGTCCGGTGCTTCATAGCACTGCCATTTTTTGTTGGATTTGTCTCTTTGCAAAGCATCTCAAAAAGTAAATAGTTTTAATTGCGATGAAATAAGTGGGCAACGGCTTCACTGTAGCTCCCAGTGGAACATCTTATTTGCATGCGATTGTTTATGAGACATACCGCGCTGCTCGCTCCTTGCCTTGCCTTTCATAAATCTGTTGTTGATGGGATGCAAGTTGCTGTTGAGGTATTCCCTCGTTTCGCTGCGTTGTTGAGTGCTAGAACAAGTGCTCTTGATCCGAATCGCGAAATTGTTGTTGTGGATGTTGAAGAGTTGTATGAGTTGCAAATCGCCCGAAGTGCTGGCAATTAGTGCACAACTGAATGAGGGCATCCGCCACTTGTGTGATACTGCAACAGCATCTGCATTTTGGCTCTCCCTGCACCCATCTTCCACTAATTCGGGAGCTGTTGTTGTAGCAGTAGCTCGATGAAATCCAGTACGTGTTGTCGCTGTACCAATAAGATTTCACGTCCAAATGGTTGCAGCTGGGACGCCGCTTTTTACCTCTTGATTTTTCGGAAGGGAGAGAGGAATTCTAATTTGGGCACCATCAAATTCCTTGATGCGGCTGGGGGATACACGTGAGTCAGGAGTGACAGCCATGGATAACTGACTTAGTGAAGGGTGTGTGTGGTGGAGGGCATAATAATTGGTGTGTGAGGGAGATGAAGGGTTTGTAGCACCGAGCTTGGTAAATGTTGTTGTTGAAAAATTTAGGAAATAAAGATATTAATAATAACACACATAAAATATAAAATTATAGTAAAACATTCCGGCTGACAGATGCGACAAACATTTCACGGATTCTATGCCACACTGGAGGAGAATATGGCGAATGGAGTAGGATGCAGTGAGAAAGTGACAGATGTGTTAGGGAAAATTGTGAAATTGTAAAGTAGTTGACTGAGGGTACGAACCTCTAGCGTACTCATGTTACATTCACCTTTCCTCAAAACTCGGAAAATATTGTTAGGAGTGAAGCGGACAGTCGGCACTCTGGTGGTACTTTGGTATCACAGAGTTTTAGGGGGGCTGGATGCTGAAAAGTCGCATGCCATCGGACTTGTAAGATGACTCGAAGTATCAAGAAAACTAAACTGAAATGACAGTTTCGGTTGGTCAGTTATTGCTAAGATTATGTGGGGGTTGTGAGGTTCAGATGAATAAGGATTAAGAAAACAGCACAGAATGAAATCTCTGGGTATATATGTATATATCCAAAAACTTTTGCTATCTGTAACAA